ATTAATAGACCCCAAAAGCCCCATTAATAGACCCCAAAAGCCCCATTAATAGACCCCAAACACAATTAATAAATGTCATTTTTGGGGCCATTTTTGGGTCACTTTTAGGGCCATTTTTGGGGTCATTTTAGGGCCATTTTTTAGAGCCATTTTTAGGGCCATTTTTGGGGTCCTATGGGGGCATTTTTAGGGTCATTCTTGGGGTCTTATTGGGGCATTTTTGGGGTCATTTTTAGGGCCATTTTGGGGGTCATTCTGGGTCATTTTTGGGGCCATTTTTGGGGTCATTTTTAGGGCCATTCTGGGTCATTTTAGGGACATTTTTGGGGTCCTATTGGGGTCATTTTAGGGGTCTTATTGGGGCATTTCTGGGGTCATTTGTAGGGCCATTTTTAGGGCATTTTGGGGGCCATTTTTTAGGGCCATTTTTGGGGTCATTTTTGGGGCCATTCTGGGTCATTTTAGGGCATTTTTGGGGTCATTTTGAGGGCCATTTTTGGGGTCATTTTTAGGCATTTTCAGGGCCATTTTTGGGGTCATTTTAGGGCAATTTTTGGGGCCGTTTTTAGGGACACTTTTAAGTCATTTTTAGGGTCATTAATAAGCCTTTTTTAGGGCATTTTTTGGGACATTTTTAAGCCATTTTTAGGGCATTTTGGGGGTCATTTTTGGGGCCATTCTGGGTCATTTATGGGGTCATTTTTAGGGCATTTTCGGGGCCATTTTTGGGGTCATTTTCAGGGCCATTCTGGGTCATTTTAGGGCATTTTTGGGGTCATTTTAGGGCCATTTTGGGTCATTTTTGAGGCCATTCTGGGTCACTTTTGGGGTCATTTTTGGGGCAATTTTTGGGCCCATTTTTGGGGTCATTTTTGGGGCCATTCTGGGTCATTTTGGGGTCATTTTGGGGCCATTTTTAGGGACATTTTTTAAGCCATTTTTAGGGTCATTTTGGGGCAATTTTTAGGGTCATTTTAAAGCCATTTTTAGGGCAATTTTGGGGTCATTTTTGCCCTTTTGGGGCCATTTTTGGGGTGTTCTGGCACTGACTGATGTGCAGATGGCGCCGCACTCGCTGCAGGCAGCGCTGCCTGTAGTGGCTCTGAGCTGCGTGGAGCCTCGATGTCACATCCAGGAACTCCTGCAGGAGGACTCCGTGCTGCAAGAGACACAAAGAACCCATCAGGCAACCCCAAATCCCAACAAACGGCACCAAAATCCCCATAAACGGCCCCAAAATCTCCCAAAATGACCCAAAATCCCAATAAAGGACCCCAAATCCCAATGAACGGCTACAAAATCCAAAGAAACGCACCCAAAATCCCAAGTAATGGCCCCAAAATCCCCACAAAAGACTCCAAAATATCAATAAATGAGCACGAAATCTCCCCAAAAGACCCAAAATCCAAATAAATGACCCCAAATCCCAATGAACGGCCAATAAATCCCAATAAATGGCTCCAAAATCTCCCCAAATGACCCAAAATCCCAATTAATGACACCAAAATCCCATTAAATTACCCCAATTCCCAATAAAAGGCCCCAAAATCCCAGGAAATTACTCCAAAATCCCAATAAATGACCCCAAAATCTCAAGAAATGGCTACAAAATCTCAATAAATGACCCAAAATCCCATTCAATGACCCGAAATCCCCATTAATTACACCAAAATCCCAATAAAGGACCCCAAATCCCAATGAAAGGCCCCCAAATCCCAAGAAACGGCCCCGAAATCCTGACAAATTGCACCAAAATATCAATAAATGGCCCCAAAATCCCAATAAGAGAACACAAAATCTCCCAAAATGACCCCAAATCCAAACAACCAGACCCAAAATCCCAAGAAATGGCCCCAAAATCCCAAGAAACGGCCACAAAATCCCAAAGAAAGGCCACAAAATCTCCCCAAATGACCCAAGATCCCAAGAAATTGCCCCAAAATCCCAATAAATGACCAAAAATCCAAAGAAATGGCCACAAAATTCAAATAAATGGCCCCAAATTCCCAATAAATGACCCCAAAATCTCCCAAAATGACCCCAAATCCCAA